ATTCGACGACTACACTCATTCTGAGAGATTAGTCGAGTGGTAAAAATCTGGACACCTCTGATTATTAAAAAAAAAAACTTATAAAAGACCTTGAGGTAATAACTAACAAACACCGTATGGCCCATACCTTGCTAGAAAAATCTAAAATATGCCTTGTGATTTGTAAATTAGTATTCTTGATTGCGTATTAGGTTGTTGACAAAAAAATTGTGTTAGTTAAACACGATTTTAAAAAAAGGGAAAAGGACAAATTTTCTACTATGCTAGTCATAGCTTGATATAGATGATTGATGAAGTAGTTAAAAAGCGAAGATATTATTTATCCAAACACCAAAGTCATGCAAGATTGATGCCTACTTGTAAATGGGTTGTACATGTGAACTAGTACCAAGGAACTATGCATGTAGTAGATTAATGTTTTATATTGGTCAATTTAAAAGCCGGTCCAATCAAAATCAAACCTTGTATTTATAATAAATGGCTACAAGGGTGTGCTAGCTAGCCTAGCTACATCACTTGCCGAACTTAATTAAATAAAAGCCTAACACAATGCCGGAAAAATCTTCAAAACGCACATGCAAGGTTCGAGTCAAATGATCAAAAATGTAAAAAATAAAATAAAAGGTTCGAATCAAGTCATATAATTTTAATTTTTCTGGTAAATGCTGCCACGCATGACGCATGTTTACGTAACGTAATTGTGCACACATATGGATGGGTGATACGCAATTTGCAAGCATAACAATATATTACTCTAGCAAATCATTAATTGCAACCTCCTGACCTGACGAACAAGTTAGGTAAATGTGGAATTTGGTCTCAGCTTCAGATAGTGAGTGGTCTGCATGTTCTGGGTTTTTTGCCGATATAGAATTGTAGCGGTTTAATTGGTGGAAGTTTTGGTACATGATGTGATGTTGATTACGATAAAATGCTATGTTGAAGATATTTCTTTGTTTTCAATTAATTTGTTACTAATCATTGCCAAGTCAAGAGAACACTATAGATTTTCTATTGATACTGTCAATTTAGTTGAATAGTTTTTTTTTTCTTTTTCTTATAGTAAGGTCTTATCCGGATTTTTATCATCGGACTAATCCCTCTAGAATGAGTGTAGCCGTCGAATAGTTTACTCACCAAATTTTTTAGTTGGTCATAGAGCAACTCTTCCCCAAATTAAAACCACTAACCTATCACCACCACTTGGTTAATAGTTACGCAAGGTTGGTTTTCATGGTTAGAGCAAATTGTAGTTAAATGAAAACTCGACATAACTAATCCTAATTATAGGATAAGAAAATGTGAGCAAACATATATGGAATTATTATGGTCATTGTACCCCTGGAAATTTTTTGGTATAATTTTGTACCATGCTATAATTATCATTTGAAATTGTATTTTTGCTTACATATGCACGCCGAATTGTGTCGTTTTCATTTGAAATTATCATTCAAAATTTCATATGATACAGTTATAAAATTATTCGAGATTTGGAAATTTTGAAAACATCGTTAGTAAATTAATTGATTAAAATCAGCTAGAATGTAGTACAAACGTATTTTGTGGGTCAAAGTCAGTAATCAAAATCCATTCACTATTTGTTTTATGTTATTTAATGTAAACATCTTAAATTACTTAATAATGCAGTAATTATTCGTTTGTAGTATTAAAAAAAACAAGTAGCATAAAGTATATTGAAATGGGTCGATAAGATTACTTGATATTTATTGCGATGCATGTGGTGATTAAAGTCAAACATGTGTCACACCAATTGGGTAATTTTTATATCAAGAAATTATTGGGAAATGTCTCATAAAATTAATGCTCAAGTATTCCATCCATGCACTACGGAACTTGGAGAAGATCCTATGCATTTGATTTAGGATGTCTGACTCTTCTTCGTCTTCAACAGGCTGGTCTTCAATATCAATGCTATCTATTTCTCGTATCACCCATATGATCGTCATTTGACATTTCTATGGAATATACATAAATTATCCGTACTTCAAAACGATACAACAAAATCTTAATAGAAATTTAGATGGTTTGTCTCTGGTTAAGAATATTCGCGAAATGGCCCTAGAGGTCTAGACAGATATAAGTCTATAACTGTTGTGATTATTAAATTTTTTCTATGGTCTATTTTAATTAGAAAGAAAAAGGCTTTAATATTCATATCGTAAATTATAAATTTGGCATCGATATTCTTCAAAAAAAAAAAAATAGCTCTATATTATTCTTCTTTTTTTGAACTTTTTAAATCTTAAAAATAAATTTTTTACTACAGAAAGTTACCTACGAAATAGAGGATCGACAGTCGCTCGTCACG